ATGGTAATTTAACCTTTTCCTTTCCTATCTTTATATTTTTTATTTCTCTCTTGTTTAATTGCTCTGGCTAATGTTTCCATTACTGTACTGAATATGAATAGTGATAGCAGACATTCTTATCTTGTTCCTAATTTACAGTGAAAGCATTCAATTTTTGATGATTTAAGATGATGTTGGCTATTGGTTTGTCATAGATGGCTCTCATCAGATTGAGCTAAAGACCAACTATACCAATTGTCTAGTTATTTTTCATCATGAATGGCTATTAGACTTTGATTAATGATTTTTCTGCATCTATTGATATGATCATGAGGATTTTGTCCTTGACTCTATTGATATGGTATATGCAGCTATTGACTTGTATGTCGAATCATGCCTGCAATCCTTGGGATATCCTACTTCATCATGATGTATAATCTTCTTGATGTTTTGATGTATTCTATTTGCCAGCATCTTACTGAAAATTTTTCCATCTGTATTAATTAGAGAAGTTGGCTTGTAACTCTCTTTTTTAGTTGAGTTCTTCTCTGTCTTTTTTTTTTTTTTAAATCGGGGTAATGCTTGCTTCCAGGAATGACTTTGGAAGTATTCCTTCCTTTTCAATTTCAATAGTTTGAAGAGTAGTGGCATTTAATCTTCTCTAGATTTATTAAAGAATTCAGAAGTGAATCTATCAGGACTTGGGATTTTCTTTATTGGTATGTTTTTCATTACATCTTCAATTTCATTGATGATATTGGATTATTAGAATTTTTATATCTTCATTCAATTCTGATAATTCATATTTATCTAGGAATCTGTACATTTCTTTTGTGTTTTGCATCTTAATAGAATACAGGTTCTTAAAGTAGGCTTTGGGGATATTTTGAATTTGTACAGGATCTATTGTTATTTCACTTTTTTCATTCTTAATTATACAGATTTGAGTCCTTTCTTTCCTTTTATTGATAAGGTTTCATAGAAATTAGTCAATTTTATTAGTCTTTTGAAGAAACAATTCTTTGATCCATTGATTCTTTGTGTTGTTTTTTAGTCTCAGTTGAATTAATTTCTCCTCTGATCTTTATAATTTCCTTGGTTATGTGAGCTTTGGCCTTGAGTGGTTCTACTTTGCTAGAATTTTAAGGCTCATTATTAGATTGTTTATTTGAGCTTGTGCTGTTTACCTCATGTAAGAATTCACCACTATAAATTACTCTCCTGGGACTGCTTTCAATGTGTCCTATGAGTATTTTGTTTTGGCATTAGTATTTAATTGTAGAAACTGTTACACTCAGTGCAAACCTGATCAAAATATCAGTAGCATATGGCACAGAGAATTAGAGAAAACAATCCTAAAATTCATTTTTAAATGAAGAATCTAGAATAGCAAAAGCAAAGCTGATCAAGAAAGCCTCTTTAATAAATGAGACAGAAATACTGGTTTTCCACATGTTGACAATCAATACTAGACCTATATCTTTCACCATGTGATAAATTAAATGAAATGGAGCAAAGATGTAAATATTAAAATGAAAATAATCTAAAGATAGACTATTTAGAACTCTTGACAATATAAATCTAGACAAATTCTTTATAAACAAAACCCTGATTGTACAAGAAATATTATAAATAAGTAACTGGGATCTCATTAAAAAGCTTCTGCATAGCTAAAGAAGTCACAGAGTGAAGAGCCAACTCACAGAATGGGAAAAAGATTTTGCCAGGTGTTCCTCAAACAAGAGACTAATATTTAGAATCTCTAAATAACCCACAAAAATTAGACTCCCAAAATTTAAGGACCCAACCCACAAATGGGCCTTTGAAATGAGTAGACATTTTGCAGATAAAGATGTTCAAAAAACAAAGAAATATATGAAAAACTGTTTATCATCACTGATCATTTGAGACACAAATTAAAACAACACTGAGATTCCATCTCACTCCCAAAAGAATGCCTATCATCAAGAAATCAACCAATAACAATGCTTGCTGGGGGTTGGGGAAAAAACTTCTGCACTCTTGGTGGTAATTTAGACAGTCCAACAACTGTTTGATTCACTGTGAAGATTCCTCAAAATCTGATTCGATCTAGCTATTTCCCTTGCTGGTATCTATCATCTCAGCAGAATTAAAATGCTATACCATAGTGGTATATGCACATCCATATTTATAGCAGCACAATTTATAGTAGCTGAATCTTAGAAACAGTCTAAATGAGTGGATAAAGAAGGTACGTGTTTTTTTTTAATACAGTGAAGTACTAGTTGGTCATAAAGAAGGATAAACATGGTTATTTCTAAGTAAGTGAATGCACTTTGAGACCACACTCTTTTTTTTAAATTTTATTTTATGGAAAAAAGTAAAAAACAGTTTCATAACAATATATTAGGAGAATAGCAACAGCTAAAAAAGATAAAAAGAAACAAAATTTCATAAGAAAATAATAAGAGAGTAACAATAGTTAGTGTACTGCATATTTTTACATGCAAGGTAGTTACTCAAAGTTATGGGAATAAAATATTCTCAAAATGATATTGTCACAAATCTTTTTTTTTAATGAACTGTGAAAAACTAGTAGTTTAACTGTCTTGTATTTTTTTTTCCTTTTCCCTTTCTTCTTTTCTCCATTTGCCCATCATTTCTTTTTTGCTTTTGAAAGATTTCTTCCCATTTCACAATATTTATTTTACATTTTGGACTTAATTCACTTTTTCAGTTTCTAACACCAGGTCAGCAATGTGATGTTTACACATGTGAGAACATACTCAAGTGAAATACTCTTAAGTGAAATAAATCAAACACGTGTTCAAATACTGCATGGTTTCTCTGGTGTGAGAAGCAGAAACTTTTAGATAAGGATCTAAACCATAAGGATCAAAATACATAATAGATGCTGTGAAATACAAAAAATATGTTCGAATGGAAAGGGGAACGAGAGAGGGGAGAAGGAAAAGCATAAAAAGGGAAAAAAAGAAACAAAAGCTTTGTAGATAAGAAGAGGAAGTCCAGATGCCAGCCTTATCCCATGAGTCATGCCATTCATGGACAATGAGAGAAGAGAACGGGAAGTCACCAAGAAGCAAACCCTCCTTGTGAATCAGGGCCGTGCATGGGTCTTTGCAGGGGAGCCAGATGCCAGTCCCTTCTAGCATGGGCTGGGAGACAAGAAGAGCCAACCCCTCTCCGCAGCTCACCCAGAGAAACCAGGCTGCAGTGACAACTATTAAGATAAAATATTATTTAATGCTTGCAGTGTTTAGTGTTTCACTGAGTTTGCAGATCTAAAGCTGGCAGTCTGGTCATCTACTCAGTGGATAACAATGCGTAATACAGCATCTATGGGGGATCTCCTTCTGAAGGTGGTAGCCATTGTTAATTCCCTATTATCTTGTTTTGAAGTGCTGTATCATTTTCATTGTTTTGTTGGGTTGTGTTTTATTCTATTTTGTTGTTTGATTTTATTATATCTGATGGCGTGGACAGCTATTTTAAAGATAGCAAGATATCTTATGATAGCCATTTTGGATTTATTCTGATCTTGTCTTGAAGTCCTTTATTACACTCATTGCTTTGTTTTTATTGGTCTTATTCTGTTACGTTTTGTTTGATTTTTACTATGTCTGAAGTTATCTGCAACTATTTTGGAGAAAACATTATGGTTACCATTGCAGATTTCTTGAAGAAAACATTATAGTAACCATTGCTGATTTCCTATAGTTTTGAAGTCCTAGGTCAGACTGGTTTGCTTGATTGGCTTTATTCTGTTTCATTATCTTTAAAATAAAAGTAATAAGGAGAAGTGAGGTTGAAGGAAGGGGAGAGGACTGGGGAAAAAGTAGAATCGAGATGTATTGTGTGCAGGTACAAATGATGAATGTGATCATTATGTATATATAAAGTGTAACAATAAAATTCATTAATCAAGAAAAGTGGAGAATGTTTTAACATGCTTCACTATAACATATTCTCATTCAAAGATATTCTCATAAATGTGGAAGTCTCATATTTCAAAATTGTAAGTTCACTACAATGATGGTTAATTTTATGTGTTAACAGTACTGGACTACATTATGCCCAGATATCTGCTAAAAATACTAGATTTTTTTGTGTTTGAAAGTTTCTGGAAGAGATAGCACTTAAAATTATAGACTAAGTGAAGAAAACCCTCTTAAGTGGGAATAGGCAACATCCTAACGACTGAGAGATTTAGGAGAAGAGGAAGACAAAGAAGAGTGCATTTGCTTCATCCGTCTACATGAGCTGGAGCATCATCTTTCCTGAATCTTTTAGAACACTGATACTTCTGGTTTTCAGGTATTTGCCCTGGGAAATTTCCTTACACTGCTTGTTCCCTTTATTCTCAGGCTTGTGGGCTTTCACTGGAACTATAGTATTCACTTTCTTGGACTTCTACCTTGTAGATGGCCGGCTATGGGACCTCTCAGGCACCGTCCATCATTGCATGATTGATTCACCCTCCTTGTGACCCCTTTATTTTCCTAAAACTAGCTACATGCTGTTGACTTTGTTTCTCCGGAGAATCTTGATTAACAGGGTTGTGATGTATCTTAGATATATATACAAAATTATTATAAAGTGTTGAATGTAGTCAGAGATGTAAGACTAGAGAGATTTAAGTGGCTCAAAATGCACAATTCAGCGGAACAGGTTCTGGGGATCATAGGCTGATAACGGAAGATACTATATATTTTTCCAATACAGAAATGTTCAGCAGAATTATCAGGTTTTTAAAGAATTATGTGACCCTCCCATTATAACTCATCCTTCTCAGTTCTTGTATCCTCAGATTAGTAAGATTAAATTTTGTTTTATAAAATATTCTTTCATTCAGATAATTTTTATTGGAAGTTCAATTCATTAATTTAGTTTTTCTCTTCACTTGTGAGCACAGTAAACGTTTATTAACAGGGAAATTTTTAAGCTACTAAACTTCAAATATTGATGATTTTCAGTGAAGCTAAGAAATGCAAAAAATGAAACATCCTCAGCATAATAATTTTAATCTTAGTGAAATCAATGCTCATTTTCTCAGTCAGGATGTTTAATCTGGTAAACAGAATGAATGTCTTTTTGAGTTCTATTTCTTTGACAGTATTTTCAGAACATGGTGCCCTGGACATGTGAATTTCATTTCAGACTTCCCAGTCCAGTCCACTTAGTATCTGAATTTGCGCTACCTGCTTTAAAAAGAATTAGAGTGTTCAATTTTATTTGTAATGTATCTCTTAATTTGATTTTCTTTTAAAGACTGCCATTTTCAAGAAAATTAATGATGAAAAGATAACACCTGCATCCTCAAAGCCAGCATCAGGATGAGTGCTAATTAATGGTAATTCCCCAGTTGTTTATTTGTCAGCGATTATTTACACATTACAAAGAAGTGGTGAATTGTTACAAGATCACTTTATCTAATTGTTCTGTAACTCATCAGGTGCCTTCCTATAGGTCACCCAACTTCTGTTGTCACTGGTTCCAAGAATCCTTCATGTATGATGCATGGCTCAGATAATCACTGTACATTTTCTTCTCTACTGAAAGCATCATAGTCCTAGCCAACAAGACAGCAGTGAATCATGCTCATCCTTACCGTGGGCAGCTGCCAACGGTAGTATTGTCTGTTTGTACTATGTCTGAAGCAGTAGAGAGCATCTCCAGATATCAGCAGTGCAGTGTTCCCTTATACATCTAATATTTCATGCCACGATAATATTCCATATGAAATGCATTTCTCATCACTGGCCAAAAATTATATCTCAATGAACATAAATATTTGTGATGTGTAGAGTAAAATATTTTATGTTTATTTACATTTATACATGGTTTCCCAAAATAATTTGAAGCTGATATTTTGTGTTCACCTCCCATTGCTTTGATAGTTTTTAGTAACAATTTACTAAACTAAAAGAGTGATCTACCAGGCTGTGTGAAGATTTACCCACTTTTCTCTTACCTCTTATCTCTCGATCTTTGACATGTTACACAACATGTATACTATCAACAACATGTATACTAACTTTGTTGCTATCTTATGTTGTTCCTTTTTGGACACAACAATTTAAAGTGTTCCAAATTCAGTAGTCTTATTCTGTAAAATAATGGCTGTGACCTGTTTTTGTATTTTAGCAAAACATAAGAAACTGTCTGGATGTGGTGGCACATGCCTATGATCCCAGCACCTGGGAAGCCGAGGCAGGAAGAATCTGAGAACAAGGTGAATCTAGGCTACAGGTGAGATCAAGTCTGCCCTGAACTAGTGGAGACCTGGTGAGAGCATGTGAAATCCTGTTTTAAACAACAAAAAAATGAAAAAAGAAAGCAAACAATAAAATTACTGTAACTCCTTTTTCCTCTGAAGTTGTTTTTTTTTTTTTTTTTACTACAGGTGAAATTGAATCTAAGAATTGTGAAGTGTGAAATTTAATGTTGAATATTTATGAATCATACAAAATCCATATTTATGATTAGGATATTCATTCAGATCAAAGAGAAGCTTTACAAGTACTGATAACTAGATGCAATGATCGCATTTGTCAGCCTGTAAAAGACCAGTGGTGTGCCTGCTATTTATGTTTGAAGTTCAATACCCAATCTAATATCTCAGCAACCTGCAATTTCTTTCAGAAACTATTACATATTTTAACCTGATTTTCCCCTATGATGTATCTAGCTTAAGGCACTCTCACAGTGACACAAATAGACCCCATGAAAATATTCTGTTCTTCCAAAAACAAGACCAGCTTGCTCCTGTCTGGAAGCAGTCTCATATATCTACAATACATGTTTGAAAAGTATAATGTTCCTTAATCAGTTCTGTTCTACTGGACTTGTTCTTGTTGATTCAAGAAGAATCATGCATCTCATCCCCACGCCATAGATGTGCTGATAAATTGAAATTGATGATGGTGGGAATATTCTCAGCAGAAGTTGCCAAATATTTCAGATCAGGGATTTTTGAAACATGAATGTAACGTTGCCCTTAGCTGGACTTCTTGGAGAAAGGCTTTCAAAGTTGGATCCTTCATTAAAAAACAAAAGAGAATTTACAATTGAGTGATCCTATAAAGCAAATACATTTGAATCTTGAGAAATAAGGATGTAGGAGGGAGGACTTCTTAGCAGTTGAGAATCTGTGTATAATACTTCTTTTTTGTCCTGAGGTTGAATCCATGAGTGCTCTACCACTGAGATACATCCCAAATCATTTTAATTTTTACATTTTTTTATTTTGAGATAGTGTCTTGCCAAATTGCCCTGACTGGGCTGAACACTGCAGTGTTGCAGCCCTAACTTCCCCTGTGGCTAGGCTGATAGGTGTTCACTGTCAGTGCGCAGTTGTGTATAACTTTTGATTTCTTTCACAATTTAATGTTTGTGAATCTTATGTTCAATTAGAGCCTCAATGAAAACATAAATGACCGATTAATTTACATGTTTTTGTGTTACATGTGTTACACATGGTGAAAAAATACCAGAACCATGAGAGGGGACTTTTTTGCAACATACCATTTACTGGAGAAAGGAACCGCTCCAGTGGAGAGGGTTATCCCCCCTGGGGACTTGAAGTAGGGAGTGGTAACATTTGTGTTCACTGTGCCAACAATGGAGTGGGCTAGAGAATTCTAACAGCAGAAAGCATGCACTATATTTTATTGATGAATTTGTGATTGGAACTTTCAGCCTGGCCTTGTATAATCCCAGTACTCTGGGAAGCACAGGCAGGAGAATGGCAAGATTGAGCCCATCTTGTGCAATTTGGAATTTAATGAGAATTGATATCAACTGTGGATTGTACCTCAGTGAGAAGGTCCAGAGTTCAAGCCCCAGAGTCTCACACACACAACACACACATGCACGCACACACACACGCACACACACACACACACACACATACACACACACACACACACAGATTTAAAGTTCAGAGATGATATTAATTCATATATATTTCCATGTGCTCCTTATTATTCATTTTATGTATGCCTGTAAGACTTGGTTTTTTTAGCAAATACTTTTCTCTGCATTGAATGAATTTTTAGTGATAAGTGAAATTATATTTGTTTCACTGTAAACTAGTTTTAATAAATTCAACACAACTTTTCATGAAATACATTCAAGTTCCAACTTGTTATGTGCCCTTTGAATTTATTTTAAAGTTTGTGAAAAGGATTGATGCTAGTATTTATTCACTTTCAAAGTCTTTGAGAAAACATCTAATATGATAAATTTTCAGAAGCCACCAGAACATGAAAAATATTGAAGAATTCCCTGTCTCAAAACAGCTGCTTATTGATCTAGATAAGAATTGAATCTTAAATTTGACACAATTTTAAAACTTGGATTATTAATATGTAATTCTTCTAATGGACTTTTATTACTTGTGGGAATGGTTGATTCTAAGTCTTTGCTAAATATATTTACTTGATAAATCTCAAAGTGCTTTGTAACTTTCAAATTAACTTATAGTACAGGAAGTTCATGTTCTCTTTCCTTTAGTATTTAGAGAAAAGAACACATTTCCATTTTTTTGAAATAGCTTTATGTGTGGAAAGTTTCTGTATTATTAAAACCATATGTTTTTAATGAATGTTTCAAAGAAGATTAATAGATTATGTAATGCATACATCTAAATCACATTCATTTTAATTATTTTACCTAAATAAAAACTTTCTGTTTTTTTTATTTTCCCTTAAAACTTTGTTATTTGTTGCCTAGTAATCACTTGCTTTCTCTTACATTTTAAGATGATTTAAAATAAGCAGTATGGAATTTCTTTTCTTCAACAATTTTACTTGTTTAATTCTTTTCTTTTAAGCAACATTATCCAAAGCAATTTCCTAAGTCCCTTCTGAATAAAGTTGTCTACTTAGACTTATTTCGGAATTATAGAAAATTGCAGATGGAAGCAAATTAAAAAAAGATTAAAAGATTAAAGTGGGAAAAGATCTAGAAAGAGAAAGGGGATGCAGATACAACGACAGTAATACTGTATGATATTATGATTCACAGGTATGAGTTTGGAAGTATATAGACTTTAATACAGAACATTAAGTTCAGATATCAACAAAATAGTCTAAGCTACAGACCAATATAATGTGCCATTAATGAGATTTTCTCTGAGTAGTTTGCATGATAATGTTCTCCCAGCACAACTGCACTTCTGTTTTTCTCCCCTAAGTGTTACTGAAACATAACTTTGCTATTCCCTAAGATAGATGAGTTTCTTGAAAGGAGAATGGATTTGTTTATTAGTACCATTTCCAAGGCAAACTCCCTTTAGTGTTACCTGACCACACACTCTTCAGCCTGCATGACTATAAATCTGAGCAGTGGAACATACTATTAAATATTCCATGCATAGCACTTAAAGAAAAGTGCCAATAATGAAAGTATCATCATTTTCAATGTAGAAAATATAATTGGTAGAAATGCAAAAGTCACAACTGTTTTAACTTGTATATAAGTGGAAAAGCTTACATTATTGATAACTGCTTCAATATTGAATGGGTGGAGAATAAATCTCAAAGTTTACACTAAGTTGTGAAACTTAGTATTTCTGAATGCTGATTATGCATACTTAGGGAAAGAAACTTTCAACATTTATTTTTGTCTTCTTTTTTGTTGTTTTCATATAGATTGAAAATATAATGACCTTCTCAATTAGAATATGAAGTCTTCCAGGATACTTCCCTAATGATATAAAGAATGCATAATAACAATGAGAACAAATTACAACTCAATTATTCAAACTAAGTTTGTATCCGTCATATTCTGCTCCTGTTCTATTTTCAAATCTCTGCAAGTAATTGTCTCTATATCTAAACTGTAAAGTCAACTTAATTTGAAAGTATCCTTTTAAAACAGCTTCTTTTAGTGCCGAATGTTTAGCGTTCATTAGTACTTGGGGCGTTACTAGACTAATCACTGTAGACTGTCTCATTCTGACAGCAAACCAATGTTTTTCCTGGTGTGCTATGTCATCCTTAGCCAAACCTACATCCCTAATAGGATGTTTATTGACCATTCTTCTTTCAAACACAGTGACTTTGCCTATATCATTTCCAGTCTGGAAATCTTTCCATTCCAAATTCTGTTCTAGGGACTGGGGATTTAGCTCAGTGACATAAGCGCCTGCCTTGCAAGCAGGCAGTCATGAGTTCGATCCTCGGTACCGATAAAAAGGATAAAGACAAAAAAAAAAAAAAAAAAAAAAACAACACCAAATTCTGTTCTAATCATACCAGTGTAAAGGACCGGTGAATGCTGTATTTAATTCCATCAAGCTCTTTTCTCTGTCTACACTGTGTATAGAATGTCTGAAACCTACTTCAGATTTTCAAATGATCTGTCAAATGGATTAGGCTTTACTGTTTTGTGACATGAGTGTACTATAGTGTTGTCAGTTATCTTAATATTTATTTGCAGAAGGGGCTGAAAATTCAGATGTGTGTGGGACTCAGAAACATATGCTGAAGCATAGCTGTGCACTGTCATAGGACTGATAGCTATCGTGACCTGCAGAACGTGCCACTCTATCTCAAAGAGTAACTCTTCCTCAACCCCACCCAACTGTCCTGTAGAAACTCAGCAACTGATATTTCTATCAAATACTAAATAAGTAGGTTGGAAAGATAACTTTTGTGTAAGATCTCCTGAGTTTTAGAAGTTAATTCTGTTTTAAAAAACAGCATGAACTACATCCATACAATACATAAGTATGCATAGAAGAATTTTTCTATCTCCACACATGTTTAGCAAACATATTCTGAGTAGGTTTTATATGTCAAACATGATGCAAATCCCTAGGAATAGTGGTGAACAAGCTAAAACCTGCCCTTCTTGAAGGAGTTACCATCAATCCAGTATATTATTTTACAGTATTTCCAGGTGGAGATATCCCTATACATATCGAGGATTTTTATTTGGTCCAACAGTAGAATGACTGTAAATATTTGCTAGACTATATTTAAAAAGAACAAAATGGCAAAGTAAAACTCCCACAGAAGCCTTTTTCTTTACAAATGTATGCAGAAGGGAGTGGATGAAATAGGTAACACTATGTATTGACACTACTGAACCTTCTGTTTTACTCACCTACAACTGCAAAGTATCATGCAAAGTGCTTCCTGGACTCCAGTGCAGTATTCTGTGGGATTATTACTGCAGTTGTCCATTGGACACTGATTTCAATAAACAGTATCCTTATGACACTCATCAATGTTCTGTGATGTTTTTCAACATAGCAGATGATATAAATAGAATATGAGACATATTTTTGATGCATTTAGAAATATTTTGCTCTCATATATCCATAAAATCACTTTTGAAATTTCTTTTCTTCTGCTTTG